AAAATTAAACTCCCTAATATTAAGAATTAATCCGAAATAAATTAATCTGAATTTATTAAATAAAAATTTATCCAAAAAAATGTATTTACGGAACTCTAAACCATGAAATTTGGCCAAAAAAAAAAAAAAGTTTGAGCGTCATTTCAAGGGTTAATACCCTAAATAGTCACTAAACTTTGTTAAAAGTTCTCAACAAGTCACTAAATTTCAAAACTTCCCTAATTAGTCACTGAACTTCTCAAAATGTTCTTAGGAGGTCATCGAACTTCGAAACTACCCTAAATAGTCACTGAATTTTTTCAAAACTACCTTAATTAGTCACTCAACTTTGCAAAAAATTCCTAGGGGTTACTAAATCATTGATGTATGGAATCACAATTTCCAAAATTCGATGACCTCCTAAGAAATTTTAGGAAAATTCAGTGACTATTTAGGATAGTTTTGAAGTTCAGTGACCTCGTAGGAACTTTTTGCGAAGTTCAATGACTAATTAGGAAAGTTTTGAAGTTCGATGATCTTCTGAGAACTTTTGACAAAGTTCAGTAACTATTTAAGATATTAACTCTCATTTCAAAGCGTTGAGTTTTGCTTACTGGGTTGTTTATACCCAAAATTCTTCAAAATGGAGACTCCGAAAATTTACGTCCTTCGAAGTCAACCCTACTTCTCCATAAAATCTTTTTCCTTTTGTATTGGATCATTGAACATTTACTCTCTTTTCTTTTTCTTTTTCTTTTTCCCATTTTTTTTAAATTTTTTGGATGATTTGCTTTGCTCACTTCAATTTTTTTTTCTCCAATGTATATGTATCAGAATTCTAATCAAAATTTTGTGGTAGTGTAGATCTGGTTGGAAGGTGAGGATAGACGAGCCGATAGGGTTTGAATTACAAATTCAGGATGTGTGTATGGACTGGGTTGTTATTTCTGTAAGGCGAGTGGGGATTGAGGAGTTGGTGATAGTGATATTTTCGGGGCTGGATATTGATGATGGAGAGATCATTGGCTGGGTGATTGCGATGGTAACGAGTTCAATTACAAATACATAATTTTTAATTACCGATTACAAGAAATTGGTAAGATACAAAAAATATCATACTCGTCAAAAAATTATATACATTGTAACGTTACATACAGTGTAACAAAAAACTAGAGATTTGAAGGATGCTTAGAATAATTTCATTTGTTTTTGGGATGTTACCATAATTATTAGGGAAAATTGTAGCAACGGTCCCCACCTTTTCAATTTTTGCAGAGTTCGTCCCAACCTTCAGTTTGTGCCGATTGAGGTCCATAACCTTTCTGAAATATTCAGTTGGATTCCAAATTGATGTTTTCCTTCCATTTGATCATTAGTAGACAAAAAA